AAATTTCTCACAAATTGCAAATGTGAAATGAAGGAATGAAAAAGGGGGAATATGAAGTAACAATCGTAACCGTAGCGGTTTCGAATGGCATAGGTTAAGGACACAAGCGTTAATTCACCCAAAAAGTAATGATTAGATAGCTGAAACGATTTGTGCATTAAATGCACATGAAATACGAAAATGACATATGTTGGCTGCAGCATGCTAGTGACAACAAAAATTACCACGTGTAACGATTGCATCATTACTTCAGTAAAGATAAATTTTATCTTGGAATTGCAGTTTTACAAACTGCCGTGATATAAGGAACCAGGAGCCAGGTTCGAAGAAAGATGCTTCCTCTCGCAACCAGTGATGGCAAGCTTTACATTGAATATTTGAATCGAGTTGTTAAAAGATGAATTTGGGGGCAACTCGGCATAAGGAAGTGAAAGCAATCCAAGTTCAATTATAACTTAGGTTAAAACAATATGAATAATATCTCAGCAAGTTGAAGATTCAATCTGCCGAGATAGGGGACAAATATATTACCCCTTGGGACCCTTGGAACTAATACAAAAATCCAGGATTTTTGTAAGTTGAAATTCCTGGATGCTTCTTGAAGGGAAGTCCAAAGAATTTTCTATTTAACCCTGGTATATACAGAGACTACAAGAACTGGGATAAATTTTTAAAAAACTCAGAAATTCCGGATAACTTTCTAAGGAACTCGGACAAGTATAAAACCTGTAGAAATTAAAAATATTCTTAAAGCCATATGCACCCCGGCAGCTTGGACACCCAGACTGCCTGGTTGAGGGGCAACTGTTATGGACTTATATGTGAGACCCATTTATCACTATGCCCAACAAGGGGCAATCAAAATATAAATCCGATATAATTAAGGGAGGATATCCATTAAAGATATCAATCCTAATACGACAACATTAAACATGGGCTTGGGCTGCTGAAAGAAGCACAGAAGGTCCAGGATCCAATACCCACAGGTAAACTCTATAAATAGGAGGTAAAGCCTACAGGTATGATTATTCTCTCTCCCTTACTATTATGCTGTCGCCATGCACACACCACTCCTTTGGCGAAAATTGTTTGTTTTTCCTTTGTTTATAGTAATCTGCTAGACTCAAGGATATCTAACTGATAGATACCTTAGAGAGCACCTAGATTCAACAAAAAACTTAATAGCCCAGTGGAATAGACATCTCTGTTTTCGGGACAAAACAAACCTTAAGGTGTTGATATCCCAAGTTCTCTTCTGGTAAGCATGTGTGTATACATTCGATCTGTATGAGCAATCTGGTCCCCTGCAGTCATGTTATCTTGGTTTGTCTGCAGTGTCTTTGGTTGTGTTTTCAGTTTCATGCATACCAAGAAAAATCTCAAAAAATACAAGAATCTATACATTGATCAATCTCCACTCATCATATATTTTATATGTGGTGGATGATGATAGTTTAAATGACGACAAAATGAATGCGTGTATTCCAACTAGTATTTATTTCTTTTATTAATTTATTATATGGTTAAGGTAGTGCTCAGAACTTTAGTTTTTATCATTTGCATGTATTTAAACTATCTATTTTTTTCAACTAAGTCAAACTATATATGCCGTTCACAACAAGACCAATTTAGGGTTTAGAAAAGGAAAACAAATATCTTGCTTTCTAGAGTCTAGATCAATAACGTCAGTGTCAGGCTTCCAAATCAATCTCTAATAATTTGAGGTTGCACAAATTTAAGTTCTTCCTCAATTATTTTGATAATAAGGTAAGTTAAATTTGTAGAGAGAGAGTATTTATTATGCTTCGGGACCATTATTTTTTGGGTATTCCATTAGTGCAAATGAGAGTGTAAAAATGAAAAAGAAGGAAAATAACAGGGATAAAAATTAAAGAGAAAGAAAAACTGATGTTATGAAAAGAAACACCAAATTATTGAATGGTCTTGAACCATAGATAATATTTCCGCAGACCTGCGAATCACACTTGCTTACATGACAGATACACTAAGTATAAAAAATAACTTCTTTTTTTTTCCAACAAGTCTAGTAAGAATTTCAATCACTGATTGCTTGTTAGGTCACCGTTTAAAGATAAACCAAGTACTCTATAACAAGAAGGGTGTTTCACAATGTTTCATTATCATCATGTTTTATTATTTAGTGCTTCTAATTCCTGATTTTTTTTTCTTGATTATGATGACACCTATGGCATGTAGATGGAGTTTTATTAATTGAAATGAACATGAACAAATACTATCCAGATTTCATATGCTAGACGAAGGCAATGAGCGTGGAACATTATCTTAAAACTAGGGGTATATCAAGAATGGTTCGTTAAGTAACGACTCAATTAAATCTTAGGATTTAACATGTTTAAATAGTAGTTTGTTCCACTTCTGATAATTGTAATTTATACAAAAAGCCGGAAAAACACAAATATGAAATTGGATTAGTCGGATTCATTAAAATTTCGAATAAAAAATAATAATAATTAGGGGCATGGTTAATTGTATGCTTTTGGCTTCTCTTCGGTTGGTCCCCTAGTTCTAGAAGGCTGGTAAGGTTAGAGAAGTGGCCCAATCATGAGAGTAACCTTTGCCTCAAGTATCAATGGTGTTAGAGAAGTGGTCCAATCATGAGAAATAAAATTAGAAATGGTGATTGTTCTCGACCCACTAGCAAAAGAGCCCTCATAATCACGCTCATCAGTATCGCACCGTGTTTGACCACAACAATCGTGGCAAGCGTACAAGTATGCACGCAACAATTTTTTCAAATCGCTTATTTATCAATCTATTATACTTTAAAAATTATTTATTAATTTACCCTATTCTAAAAAATTAATTTTTTTTACCAAAATTCTTTTAATAACGTTTTGATTGTAAATTATTTTAAATATAAAATAAGCTAACAAGGACACACATTAAATTTTTTCTGATTCAATAATGTTTTATATAAAATAAAGACGTGGGGATATTTTTAATTTAAATCTTTTGACGTTGGCGAAAGAAACAAATCCTCCACAAAGAATTTTTTTTTTTTTTTTTGAGGGGGGGGGGGGGGGGTTGTAAATTTCACCAAACTTTGTTTTTATCTGATAATGTAACGTTTGAAATTAAGACCAGCTTGTCACGAAGCCCACGACATTGCCAAACAATGTAGGTTTCTTTGTCGATTGAAGCAAGTTTTAAAAACAAAATTTGACATAGTGATATCAACATAAGTTTTTTTTATATTAAAATTGTGACAAAATCATTTAGAACATCAATTGAATCTTTAAAATATTATTACATCAATTTTTTTGGTCTATTTATTACATCAATTTAATTCTTAATAAATAATAATTTTTTAACATAAAAAATTCATAGTTTAATGTGAAGATTAATGCTATATATATGATGATTAAAAAAAAATGGAAGATGATGTTAATGTTATTAGTTTTGAGTAAACAGATTGAAGTTCCAAAAAAATTAATCTTTTAACGATCAAAATTAAAATATTGAAAAAAATTGACTATAAGAACTTTATATTTCAGAAGTAAACAAAATTATTATAACTCATATTGGTTAATAAACTAATTCGAAATTTAGTTAGGTGAAAATTTTAAAATGATTATAAGTACTAACATTTCTATCCGATTAAGGCCCCTAAAGTTAATTGGATAAGAATTATGTCCATCATGACTGTTAATAAATTATAAAAGTGGACTTCAAGTCATTAATGGATGAGGAAAGAGGTGAGGGGCAAGGTTGTTATTCTTAGAATTAATGTTTTAAAAGAAGAAAAAAAGATAAAGTTTCACTTAAGTTAGAATTATTTACTCGTAAGATTACTTGCCTTTAGTATGTTGGCTTGGAGTGTTACTTATACAAGTTTAAAAGAAACTACAATGAACAAAAAAAAAAAAAAAAACTAATAGCTAGGAACAAATCCCAAGCCTGTTAGTCGTTCTTTTAATGCAATTATTTGCAGCTCTCAACCAACGTTTTCTAATCAAATTGCTGAAGCTCCTAATTTTGTACATTCATATCGCAAAAGATGAAGCTATGGGTTTGATAAGGAAAAGTGGTTTCATCAATGATTGTTTGGAAAAAAAGTCGTGTTTCCCTGCTTGTCGTTTGTTTCTCGAAGACCTCGTTTAGGAGTTTAAAGGAGATTAAAAGTCCTATCTTATCCTAAAAAGTCAACCTACATGTAGAAGATAAACTAGTGATAATGGACAATGGCGTCATGTTGGCTAGGCCGGCGGACACTGTTCTTGCCTTCTTGGAATATCATATAATGGAGTAGATAATGTGCTTGAAGTTTGGAGAGAATATTGGCTTTCGTTTGAAGATTTGTGATTTCAGTGGCGGAGTTAAGATTTTATTTTAGCTGGAACTAAAAAATTTGACACATCAAATTATCAAAATATTTATCGTAATTACACAAATCTATTAGATAACAAATTTATCATCAATTCTAGCATGTTTATCTAAATTAATTACTAAATAATGTCACATAATATTAAAAATTTAAATAAACAATAGGCAACTATTATATATCAAAGCAAACATATAAAAAAAACTAACATTTCCGACAAGCATTCCAAACAAAAGAATCACATTTTTCTTCCACATCATAATAAGTAATGAACAAGCATTGTCCTAGGGATATAAATACACACAAATATAATAATTATATGTATAACAACATTTAATAAGTAATTTAAAATGTAATAAAAAAATACATACCTAAAATTGTAAATGAAGCTATTTTAAACTGACGAAATCTTCAAGAATAGAATCTGTAGTAAAAGTTTTAGCAATCTCTCTTTCAATATACAAAACCAAATTATTTGCAAGAAAGTCATCATCCATTTTGTTCGAAGCCTTGTTTTCACAATTTTCATATCTGAGAATGCACGTTCACCACTTGCTGTTGAAACTGGTAGTGTTAAGATATGACGAATTAGCCTATCCACCAAATGATAGGAATTTGACTTTCCTGTCTTAACTAATCATTGACACAACTCAGAAATCGAAGATAAGTTTTGAAGTTCTGAATGTTTTGGGATGTCCTTATGAAAATGCTTCAATTGACAATTCAAAATAATTCTCTCTTGCTCAGAAAAATCAAGAAGATAATATTTCTCTGCAAGGCTACAAATATCATCAATATTAAATGCTTTGTAACCATTCTTCGGATCTAATGAATAGCTAAGTGATAAAATTTCCATTGTTCGCTCATTAAATCTTCCATCTAACTCTTGTAATTGAAAGTCAATGGTTGAATTAAATATATCAAAGTGATAGTGATGCTCAATAGTTATTTGATCATGATGTCGACGGCTACGACCTTCAATATATTGAGTATCAAGATCTGGAACATCTATTTCATGAAGCTTGGAGAAATTCACAACACTTTCAAGTATTCTTTTCCATCCATCATCTCGTAATTCTTGAATAAGTTCCTTTGTACTTGAAACTAATTGTATAGCATTCAAAATATCTTGAGATTTTTGTTGTAATGCTTGACAAAGAATTTCAGTGATGCCCATGATCTCCTTCATCAAAAGTAAATTAAAGATAAACTCAAAAGAAGTGATCATCTTATAAGCTGCAGTCGCATCTCCTCTTTGAGAGTAATTTAAGCCTTCACTACGAATTTTTTCAAGGACTAAACACGATTCATTATACTCTCGTTAAAGACTATATATAGAATAAAAATGAGAACCCCATCTAGTATCACTAGCCCTCTTTAGTGTACCTACTTGGTTAGAACCTGTCCTAGTTTCAAGCTCACCAATAGCCTGCAAACGTTCAAATTCAGAAATTTGGGCAGCTTGTAATTGATCATGACGCTTAGAAGAAGCATTGATAATATTAATGTGGAAATTCAAATTCTGAAAGAATTGATAAACAGAAGAAACTTCCTTAGAGGCAGCAATCAAGACTAATTGTAATCAATGAGCAAAACAATACACATAATAAGCACAAAGACATTCTTTAAGAAATAATGCTTGCAATCCATTCCATTCACCACGCATGTTACTAGCACCATCATATCCTTGGCCACAGATATTCTGAATATCAAGACAATGATGCGAGAGTATTTCACTAATAGCATTTTTAAGTGTCATAGATGATGTATCTTGAACGTGATAAAGATAAAAAAAATCTCTCTTTAATGAAACCATCTTTGTCAACAAATCTCAAGACAAGAGCCATTTGTTCCCTTTTGGATTCATCACGTGCTTCATCCACAATAATACAAAACTTAGAGTCCCCAATATCTTTGCAAATCTATTTTCGCACTTTGTTTGCGAGAACATATAAAATCTCCTTTTGTATTCGAGGTGAAGTATATTTGGCTATTAATGGAGCATTCATTAGAACAACATCTGCGACATTTTCATTTTAAGATGCCAAAATTTTGATCATTTCAATAAAATTACCACTATTTCTTGAATTAATAGTCTCACCATGCCCTCTAAAAGCACATCCTTGAAAAGCAAGCCAACGAGCAACATCAATTGAAGTCTTAACACGCACCTATTTTTTCAATTTGTTGGGAGCTTTGAGCATGCATAACTTTATCAATATGGCAAGACTTATTCATTAAATCTACACATGAGACAAGTGCATTAGTATGTAGTGAACAAGGATCATCTCCCATGTGACTTAGAAAAGCACAATTCTTTCCACCATGAACTTTTTTCTAAGTATTAAAACCTTTGATTGTGAATGCATCCCAACCATGTCGCCCACCGGCCTTTGTAGTGAAAAGATAACATGGTAAACAAAATGCAGCATCTATAGAAGGTGAATACTCAAGCCATGAAGAAAATTCTTTGAACCAAGAAGTTTGAAAACGTCGAGGATGCTTTTCCTTTGAAAATGGGTAGGAGCATTGAGGTTGATATGGCCCAACCATTAAATAAGCTCTCTGTATTTCATCGACTTCATTAGCTGAATATTGCCAAATTGGCTTACGTTTGCCTGGATCACGTTCAAAAATTTTATTTCTGACTGTAATAATGTCATCAGTATGTTCAATTCTGCGACACTTGGAAGGAGGTTGCTCATGAGAAGGTGCATCACTTTCATAAATTATGTTTGTAGGAGCATCACTTGATTTACTTTCAGAGACTACTTTCTTTTTAAAGAATACATCTATACTTTTCTGTTTATCCTGGCCGATACTTTTTCAACCTACATGTTAATTTGTAGTTAGACATTTTGTAAAATTCATTGTGATAATAATTAAGTCATAACTCTTAAGTGCAATATGAAAAAAAAATAAGGAAAGTTCCTTCTTTATGACTGAAATATCACGAATTCGAAATAAGGAAACAATGTAATAACCAACACCGTTAATTAAGGTATTTAATTAATTAATTATGCAAAATTAGGAAATGATTCCATAATTGACCCGAATAATTATTAAGAGGCTTTAATAATCATGGTAAGTGATTAAGAATGCTGAAAGTCGCTTTCCAGAAGAAAAGTACAGATACCGGTTCTGCTAGTCGGTATAAATGCGTACCGAAAAAGTATCCCGGAAAATTAAAGTACGTACATGATAATTACTAGAATAATTTGTAGGACTTGTACAACGAGTTTCAAGTCCAAATAATGAGAACTGGTGCTAGAAACCGGTACTGGCTCTGAAAAGCGCATACCAGAAAGGTGCTCAGAAAAATATAATAAAAATATGATAATTCTTGGAAAAATGTGTAGTTTCAGAATCCAAAGTTTGGGATTAAAATGCTAAGCGTAGCAATTTAAGCTAATACTGTGTGCTTAAGTGAGTTTTGGCTATAAATACCCTCATTATGGGCACAAAACCCTAGGTGCCACTCTTTCTACGTGAGTTTCTGGTGTGGTCAGCTGATACTCTATTCTTGGAGGTTCTCTTCTCCTTGAGAGGCCAAGTTCCTATCTTTTCTTTGATTTCTTCACACTTTCTCTTGGGGAAACACTTGGTGTGAGTGAGGATCATCATTGGGAGTGTGTTGGTGGTCTTGTTCTGAGTTTTGAAGTCAGTGTGAGGGAGGTTTGGTTGCTGACTTGTTGTTTTTGGGTTGAGAGAAGCTTGGTTTTGGTTTTTGGAGGTCCAAGTGGTGACCTTTTGTGTTAAAGAACCAACCTTTGTGAAGCCATTTTCGTGCATCATCCTTGAGTCAGACTTGAGGGGCTGGGTTGAGCTCCAAGAGCATCTCCATTCTGAGTTTTGAGCCTTGGTATGTTGTACCACCCTTTGATCTTGAGTTTCATGCTTAAAAATGGAAGCTTGATGCATGTTAAGGTTAAAAGATGATAACTTGTTGTTGGGTAATGCTTAACACACCTAGAAATGCATGTTTAAGTGTTTAAAATATGTAAAATCCCAACCTTGAAGGATATCTTCGCGAAATGCTGAAACTGCATTCTGTCGTGAAATATCCGGATATCTGCCCGTGGAATATCCAGATATTGGATATCCGGATATGATATCCGGATATGTGATATCCGGATATGAGGTTTTGGGATATTTGGATATTGAATATCCGGATATGTGAATCTGTATATCCGGATATTGCAAATCCGTATATGGACAGTGAGATATCCGGATATTGCATATTCGGATATGGTCCCGAGGAATATCCGGATATTCTGGAATTTCGTGGAACAGTAGCTGTGCTGTGTGTACAGTAGGCTATTGGGGGTTTGTGGACCCTAGTTTGATGAAGTTGAACTTCTGTATTTAATGGACTAAGCCAGAATCATGGGATTAAGGGCTTGTGGTTTTGTTAGAAGCTTTAAGACATTAAAACGTAATGAAAATGCGTTGTCTTTAATTTGTATGCATGTGGTACATGTTTATTGATTTATTTTTGGTCCATATCAGATTGTGATCTGCTGTGATTGGACTTTGAGCTTGTGGCATTGGATAACTAGCTTAGATGTAAGCTTTCGTGTCCTCGGTTTAGCCATGTTGTGGTTCCACCATGTCCCATGGGGATATGGTATATGCATGTTGTGTTACATGCTTTTGATGTTTTGGAAATGTTGTTGAGTTGTTTTATGTTAGTGCCTTGTTGATATGCATGGAGGTGTTCCACCTATACAGTAAGCCTGAGTATGTAGAACATACAAGAGGGTGAGGCTGTGGGTGAGGTGTAATCGGTGTTCCTTGTACTACATGTAGGGAATAGACGTATTCCTACATTTCTCTGGCCAGTAGATAGTGATTACACACATGCCATAGATATCTGTTGCACTACATAGTTTTGAACTGATAATGATATTACTGCTTTTAGAACTTATATTGTACATGTAAGTGAGCTTGGGGTGGAAGATCCTTGAGGACCCCTTGTCTTACTGAGATTTCTTGTTTTGAGATCTCACCCCGCGTTTGGAGAATGCTTATTTCAGGGTCAGGTAATGTTGAGACCTCAGGCGGCAGGAGGCCGGAGCTGAGTTAGATTGCTGTTATATTATGCTGCCATGATTGGATGCTGGATTTGCATGCTGCTTATATGCTTATAGCTTCAGTTTATGTTTATGGAGTTTTATGTTGAGATTGGTTGTTTACTATGTTTATTTGGTGAGCATGGGGATTGTCCATGACACATAGTATTGTTATGTCTTGAGCATGTCTTGAGTCTTTTGGAGTTGTAATAATGTATCAGGATATTGTCCGGATTACGAGATGTAATGCCGTGATTTAGATACACACTTTATTTATATATTGAGGTATTTCAGTAGATGTCTTATTGCAATTTACATACAGGCGTTATTTTATGAAATTGATTAAGTAATCAAGTTGGTAATTGATAATGACGTCATAATTGAAAAGAAGAAGAATATTCCGCATTTTTAATTAAGCACTGCTTAATACGATGTAATGTTAATATTCCGAGTATACACGGGGTGTTACATTTTATGGTATCAGAGCAACGGTTCAAAAGAATATTCCGCATTTTTAATTAAGCACTGTTTTGTGTGTTTGCTCCATCGAGTATTATTATGATAATGCATATGTGACCACATTACGTGGGCATGATCAATTCATAATTTGTGTAACTTGTGTAGAGTCATGGTAAGACCCGGGAAAAACCGCGAGACTTCGGAGGATCGGCCCGATCCTGTCCTGGCTGCATTGGCTGAGATGCAGGCGGCCCGACAAGCCGACCAGGAGCCATGAGAATGGCAAACCAGACCATGCTGGACGCTGTCAGAGAGGCGAACAGGATGGCCACTGAGGACATGTTGGAGGCCAACCGTCTGGCGAACATGACGATGTTTAGAGTCATGTTGGAGGAAATGAGGAATGACCCTGATGTTGGTCATGTTCCTACGCCACCACCTCCACCGCCACCACCACCACCTCCACCCAGTCTGCAGGATGACTCTCAGAGTCAGATGGGAGATGGCAGTCACCTTACAGGGGCCATGCAGACCGTCCCTGTTTTTGTTGAGGATCGTGATGAGATCGACCGCCGGCTGAATGCTTTCCGTAAGCATAAGCCACCTGCCTTTGATGGATCCTTTGATCCTGTTGCTGCGGCGTGTTGGCTACAGACTTTGGACAAGATATTTCGGGTCATGCAGTGCACAGATCCGCAGAAGTTGATGTTTGCTACTTACATGCTGGAGGGCGATGCCCATAAGTGGTGGACAAAACTTTCTCATGTCTACGAGATGCAGGGTCATGTGATGACTTGGCCTATGTTCGAGGATTTCTTCTTGGGTTAGTACTTTCCATATGACGCTCAGGAGAGGCAACAGAGAGAGTTTGATAGATTGGTTCAGGGCTCGTTGTCTGTGGACGAGTACCTGGCCAAGTTCAACCAGTTGGTGAAGTTTGCACACTTCAAGATGACGAGGCCTACTCCTACATTTCTGGCTGCTAAGTTCCGCAGGGGACTTAGTGAGGATATTGCTGGTTACCTAGCTGGTTCTGCTTCTAGAGATTTTGGGACACTGGTTCAATAGTGTCGTGATATTGAAGATTACTACAGCTCGAGTAAGGCCAAGAAGGCCAAGGTTGCTGAGGCGACGAAGGTTGCAGCTGGTAGTTCCACTTCTTGGCGAGACAGGAAGTTTGGGAACATGGGAAAGGGTAAACAGTTGGCAGCTCGCCAAGCGCCGAGTC